TATCAAAAAGACAAGAAATAACAAATGTTGGCGAGGATGTGGAGAAAAGGGAACCCTTGTGCACTGTTCGTGGGAATGTAAATTGGTGCAGCTACTGTGGAAAACAGTATGGAGGTTCCTCAAAAAAATAAAAACAGGGCGCCTGGGTGGCTCAGTCATTAAGTGTCTGCCTTCGGCTCAGATCATGATGCCAGGGTCCTGGGATCAAGGCCCACATCGGGCTCCTTGCTCCACAGGAAGCCTGCTTCTCCCTCTCCCGCTCCCCCTGCTTGTGTTCCCTCTCTGGCTGTGTCTCTCTCTGTCAAATAAATAAATAAAATCTTTAAAAAAATAAATAATAAAAATAGGACTATCATACAGCTCAGCAATTCCACCTCTGGGTATTTACCTGAAGAAAATGAAAACATTAACTCAAAAAGATGTATGCACCCTATGTTCACTGCAGCATTATTTAGGATAGCCAAGACATGGAACAACTTAAGTGTCCATCAATGGATGAATGGATACAGAAAATGTGACATGGGTCCCTTAGAGAGTTGACAGAAATATGGGAAGTTTTCAATTTTTGTTTTTCTGTTAAGTCATTACTTTGGTTTACTTCAGGTATTATATAAATATAAGAAAATGTATTTACATTTATTTAAAATTATTCTTGTGTTATCAATACAGACAATATTTTCAAGACTTGTTTGTAGCGTGCTATCAGCTGCATATTTAGAGCACAATTTATGTATGTTTTGGGGCAGCTTCAGAGGTGGCCTGAGTCATCCCTGCAGCAGAAGTACCTACAGACGTCATATAAGAAGCAAACAATGCTTTGCTATGACCACGAACTTCATTTGGACTCTTGGTGCTACCAGGAAACCCACTATTTTCTCAAATCAACTTCCCTCCCACACTCTGTGATGAGAATCTCAAAGACCTGTGCTTTTCCAGCCTCTGACTTCCTTGGCTCCTGCCTGACTTGGCAGAACACAATGCCTCCTACTTCACACACATACAAGCCAAGTCTATGAGCCCCTCACCCCCTGCCACTGAATGCAGAAGTCCATGTTCGTTGCCCCACTCCCCTCTTTCACTGGTTGGAGCAGGGAGCACTCCCTCCTTCCAGAGAAGGCCAACCCAGCAAGTGTGCCTCAGGATCCTTTTCCAGAAAAGCTTATGGGACTGATAATTCTACTGTTCTCTCATATAGTCAACCTCTCTCAACTGGACCCTTTCCTTTAACCTGCAAACAAGCAAATGTGTCTCTCACCTCAGAAATGAAATAAAACAAAACCCCTCCAATGCCTGCATATTCCCATGTCACCTTCACAGGCAAACTTCTGGACAGTTGTCTGTGATCATCTCTATTCCTCCCCTTATGTTAGCTTGTCATTTCATTATAATCCGGCTTCATTTCCATTACTCACTAAGATTGTGCTTGTCAATGTCATGATAGATGTCCAGGGCGTTAAGTGCAAAGGAAATTTCCGGGGTCAACTGATCCGACTTGCACAGGAGAGGATGCTCTCATACTCTCCTTACTCCCTCCGACTTCCCTGGCCCTCGGTTGGTCTCCTTTTCTGGCTCATCCTCCTCTAACTGATCCATTAGATCACAGCTCGAAAGTCATGGTTCTGGAAAGTCTTCCCTGATGTTCCTGCCTCATTATCCATTACACATTCTCAGGGCCCTGCAGATCCCTCCCGGCACAGGACTGGCCAGTCACGCTTCTATATCTATGTGGGTAGTATCTGAATACTGTTTAATTTGGAGCAGGTATTTGACGACTCCCCCACTATGCCATGAGCTCCAAGAAGAAAAGAATTGGGGTCTATTTGTCCATCATTGTGTGCCTGGCCCCCAGTAGGCACTCAAATATTTGTTCAACAGTTAAATGAAAAAGGCTCTGTCTCACAGGACGATGGTATTTTACTCGGCCAATCAGATTCTCTCCTTCAGAAGCATGACTGGGAAATACCGACCAGTCCCTTGGAAGCATGAGGGGAAAGGAGGAGATGTAAACAGAGTCCCGCTGGCTAAGAAAGCATCAGTGGTGCTGACCAGAGCCCAGGGCAGAACTCAGAGCCTCTCCTGTGGCAGGGGGCTATAGCCCCCAGACTCCAGGGCTGCCCCAGGTCCCAAATAAGAGCTGCCCCCAAGTTCAGGGAAGTCCCAGCCTCTCACTACTACATATATCCTTGAAACAAACCCCATTACTTTTTTTTTTTTAAGATTTTTATTTATTTATTTATTTGAGAGAGACAGAGAGAGCACAAGCCGGGAGAGGGGCCGAGGGAGAGAGAGAAGCAGACTCCCCACTGAGCAGGGAGCCCACCATGAGACTCGATCCCAGGACCCTGAGATCATGACCTGAGGCAGACAACTGAGCCACCCAGGTGCCCCAAACCCCATTACTTGAGGAAGCTTGAGTGGTGTCACTTTCTTACAGCTGAGTCTAAATAAAACAGGAACTCCTCAGCAGGGAAAAATTACTGGAGAAGTAGTTCTTTGTGGATGAGTTGAAATACTCAAAGTAGAAGAAATGAAAACATAAGGCGCCTTACATAATTCCCCCAAAAGACTTCCAGACCTCTTTTTGAGGAGATTAGTTGTGCCCTGGAATTATTCCCAAAACCTGTGCCAAAGGCAGCAAACTTTCCTTTACAGAGATAAGGATTAACACTTACTAAAGACCCCTGACTGTTGTTTCGGGATTTGAAAGGCTATTACCTTGTGCACTGCATTTGGGACTTACAAAAATAATTTGTTTTTCTTTGCTTTCTAAAGAGTTTCATATATGAAGAAATAGATCTATACATATAAATTAAGCTAGTTAATTTTCTTTTCAAATTGTAACTTACTCAGGGCTTTACAAGACATTGGAAGTTAAATGTGAAAACTATGTTTAAAGTCTAATTTATGACGTCTGAGCTTAGCCAGATCCCTAAAGGCAAAAATTCCAATGCCTCAGACTTATGACCAGATCATATTAAATTTAAACCGAGTAAATTAAAGAGAAAAAAAAATAATCCTAGTACTTTCCAACTCTACACTGGGCAATAGCAGTTACTTTACTAAATCTTTTAATGGTAGTTTGGGATGAAGTGCATGATCTTAATTTGCCTTCTGGATGAAATGATGGAAGAGCGGACCCACAGGCAAGCCCAGGTCACCGCCCCATTTTGGTTGGCAAGAGGACATGTCCTTTTGCAGAATGTGCAGCATAAAAGACTCTCTATGTTTGATTTTTAGAGTTTTTATTTAAATTATGAATATTAGAACAAACAGGGCACCTGGGTGGCTTAGTCAGTTAAGCTCAGGTCATGATCTCAGGGTCCTGGGATCGAGCCCCACGTCGGGCTCCCAGCTCAGCTGGGAGTTTGCTTCTCCCTCTCCCTCTGCCTGCTCCCTCTGCTTGTGCTTGCTCTCTCTCAAATAAATAAATAAAATCTTTTTTAAAAAAGATACATTTCTTTCTTAAAAAAAAAAAGAATATTAAAGCAAACAAAAAATCAACATGTAGTAGATTACTTCAGCCAACAGAGGACAGATTAGACAGCTTGGTTTTTCTTCGGGAGACAATGTATGGTGACTAAAGCACAGTGTTTGGGGGCGTTAGGTAGACCTGGGTCTGAATTGTGTCTCCACTATTTCCCACCCAACAGGGGAAAGTTCATAACCTTTCTGGACCTGGTGTCCTCATTGACAAATGTAGGCTGATGATGGGGCAGTGAGAAAATTAAGTAAAACAACAGTTTACCTATTATGACTGATACATAACATTTGATACTCCATTTGTTAAATGCAAAGACTTATTTGGCAAATTGCTTGCATATTATAAAGAAGAGGGTCACCACACATTTTTGTGAAACTTAGAATCTTTTTTTTTTTTTTTTTGCCTTTCTACTACATCAAATGAAGAAGAGAAAGTAATGCACTTTAGTAAAGGACATAATAATATGGACTGCAAATTCCATGACATTCTTGGAAACGTAAGTACTGTGTGGCCTTATTAATAATGCAATAACTTCCAGTTAGTTCAGAGGGGGCTTTTGTCAGAAAGAAGCAAGGGGACATCAAAGCAACCCTAAATATGCACATCCATATTAGCAATGCTCTCCAGAAAGGCATGAGCAACCTATTCACAGGATCAAGCACCTTCCCTCACCCTCCCTGCTGGACTTCGCTGGTGCCTGTGTACTAGAAGCACAGCTCACTAGAGCCCTGCTTAGCAAAGACAAGCCCTGAGCATGCTGGGGGAGCCCACCTGCTGATTTCTTTCCCCACCCATCACCTGTGAGTTTCCATTGGCCAGATGTGTAGTTAGGATCAAGAAAAGTGAGGAGCTACTCTCCTTCCTATTCAACATCAATGCAAATTGATAACTTGTAACAAATACCTTTTATATGGAAGGAAAAAATACAATCAAAAAGATTATTGTTAAATACAAAGAATAAAAGGCAAAATTTTCTCATTTACAGTTGTATTCCCACCATGCAGTGGGTTTTCTCCTCCTGTTTACTTGTTAAATGAAAAAAATGAAGGAGTGAAGGAAATGAGCCAATATTTAATTTAAATACATTAATTAGGGCAGGTGATTCATGGAGAGGAATGTCTCTGGAAAGGCAGGGAAGCCACCACGTGATAGTACAGGGAGTAAGAAGGGAAAACACAGGGATTCATGGGGCTGAGGCAAAGACATTATGCCTTAGGATTTGGATCACCTAGTTAATTGGAGTTGCCTGAGTAATATATCTAGAGTGAGAGATAAAAGTTTGAATGAAACAAGCAGCAGCAAAATATCTGTATTTCACTCTGAGATTCAAATCAAGGGACACAGTTGGCTGACTGAGGCACCTAACAAAAGGGCTTTATATCCTGCTAGAAGCTTGACAAAAGAAAGCATGCTATAAGCCCCACCATGGAGAGAGATTTTGCTCCATTTGCTAACTGTAGAAAAGTTTCTAAAAAAAGGCTGAGAGCCCTTCTGCTGTGTTTGTATGGAGTTCACTCACAGTGTGGCTCATAAGGAGGAGGAGGGTCTCCGCAAGGTACGCACTCCATGTCTTGAAAACCAACAAGTTTTGTCTTCCTATAAAATCTAGAAGAGAAAAGAAAAGAATCCTCATTAGCTCTTTCTTCTAAGCTCAAAGTTACAACAAACAGATTCATGATAAATTATCAGTCCTCTCCATTACCGGTTTTATTTAAAAAAAAAATAGCAACTAAAAGGCTTAAATACAACAGTATCTTAGACAGACACATCCTTAGATGCAGTGACCCCTTAAGAAATATCAATTTTACTAAACATAACTTTGTAAATTCTACTCAGCCTCACTATACTGAGGTGGTGGTGCTGGTAAGGGAATAGGAAATCAGTGGTCTTTGGCATTTCTATTGTCATTTAAACGACAAAACCCCTCCTAAATCAAGTGCCAGTTTTTAAACACTTGAAATTCAGAGACCAAAAAAACCAAGCAAACTATAAAAGTATGGAAAAATTTAGGGAGATGCTTATACAGTCTTCATAAGGGGATCTAGAAGGATCTAGGCATGATAAGAAACACAGCAACCAGAACGGAAATCAACAGTTTTCACCACACCCCCTCACACCCCCACAAAGACCCCCACACACCCACACATACACACACATGCACACCGATACATACACACAGCCACACACACACACATGCATACCCATACATACACACACATACACACAGATGCACAGACACATACACACACCTGCACACCCTCCCCACACACAATACACATCTGCATACACACACATACACACATACATACACACAGCTGTACACACACACTTGCACACACATACACACTTGCACACACATACACAGTCGCACACATGCACACCCATACATACACACATGCATACACACAGACGCACACACACAGACAGTATTAAAGACATCTGAAGAGCAAAAATAAAGCATCAGCAACACAGTTAATGGGCAAAAGAAAACTGAAAAATAGTTCTAATCATAGTATCCTCTATAACTTCAGTTTGTAGTAGAAACCTTAAAAATCATAATGGTAAAGGTGAACACTGCAATTGAAAAACAGGCAAAGGACATTAATTCCCCAAAGAAGAACATTTCATAATTTTAAAACTGCATAGTTGAAACTCTAAAGAGCATGATGCAATTAAATTCTTAAAAATTTAACATGGAAATGTTTAACCTCATTAAACTAATCGAGTAAAGGCAAGTTGCAATGAAAAGATCCCATTTTTACTTAGAAAACTGGGAAAGTGTTGGTGTGACCAGTGGCATTATAAATTGCTACTTGTAGGAGGGCAGCATAGCAGTATGTCATCAGAATGCAATAAAATTTTTTATATATCCTTTAACCAGTAATTTCATTTTTTCGAGGTTTATCCTAAAGAAACAATCAAGTGGGTGAAGCTGTATTTAGAACAATGCAATCACAGTATTGTTTATGAAAGGGAAAAACCCAGTTAGGCACAATTTCAATAATGCAACAGGAGATATGACTATCCATGGTAGTCCCAAGGCAATGGAATACAAAATGTCCTTTAAGAAACAATGATGTAGATCTCCTATATGTATTTTTTTTTAACTCATGAAATAGCAGTAAGTAAAAAAAATAGGAAAGGTGAGTAATATAATTATATATTGTACAGGCACATACTTTGGTATATAGCTCCTTTCAGATTTTTTACCAAAGCAGCTAAAATAATTTACACATATATATTGGCATTGAAAAAAATTGGAAGGATATTATATACCAAATATTAACAATGATTATTTCTAACTATATTTCAAAATCTATTTTTCTATGATGAAATAGTGATATGGAGAATAAATTTGCAGACCAAGTCTATAGAGGGCAAGATAGATGCTATTATTTTGTGAAATTGGGTATTGTAGTAGCAAATATGTATGATTTATGGTTAAAGAAAAATCTGCATTTAAAACTAGGTAAATTATCTCAAATGCCCAGATACATTCAGTATTTGCTTAGCCTTCCTTTTCACACTTCCTGATACTGAAACATATCACAAAGCTATAATAATCAATGTAGTGTACAATATACAATACAGTATAATAAACAGTTACAGCTATAATAATCAATATTGGCATAAAGACAGACATGTAGACCAATAGAACAAAACAGAGAGCCCGGAAATAAACTTTCACATATATGGTCAAATAATCTTCAACAAGAGTACCAAGACCACTAAAAGGGGATGGGATAGTCTCTTTCACAAATGGTGCTGGAAGGGGTGCCTGGGTGGCTCAGTTGTTAAGCGTCTGCCTTGGGCTCAGGTCATGGTCCCAGAGTCCTGGGATTGAGCCCTGCAGCAGGCTCCCTGCTCAGCGGGAAGCCGGCTTCTCCCTCTCCCACTCCCCCTGCCTATGTTCCCTCTCTCGCTGTGTCTCTGTCAAATAAATAAATAAAATCTTAAAAAAAAAAAAGGTGCTGGGAAAGCTGAATATCCACATGTAAAAAAATGAAGTTGGAACTTTATCTGACACCACATACAAAAACTAATTCAAAATGAATTAAAGACCTAAACATAAGGCCCAAAACTATAAAACTCCTAAAAGAAAACAGGAAAAACTTGATGACGTTGAATTTGACAATGATTTCTTGGATATGACACCAAAAGGCAATCGAAAGGCATATGTGAAACAGACAACAAAAGGAAAGATACATTGGACTACATGAAACGTAAAACTGTTATGCATCAAAAGATACAATCAATGTATAGTTATCCCCAAACTCATCAAGTTGTATACATTAAATATGTACAGCTTTTTACATGTCAGTTATACCTCAATAAAGTGGTTAAAAAAGTTAAGTCACATCAAAAAAGTATTAACTGATAATAAAATAATAATTTTTTCAGGATTAAAAAAGATACAATCAACAGAGTGAAAAATGAACCCACAGTAGGGGAGAAAATATTTGCAAATCATGTATCTGATAAGGAGTTAATATTTGAATATATAAAGAACACCTAAAATTCAACAACAAAAATCAAATAACCCAATTAAGAAAATGGGCAAAGGACTTGAATAGATATTTTTCCAAAGATGATATACAAATGACCAATAAGCACACGAAAAGATGGCCAACAGCAAACGTCACTCATCATTAGCAAAATGCAAATCAAAACCACAATGAAGTATCACCTTATACCTATTAGGATGGCTACTAAAAACCAAACTAAAACAAAACAATCAGAAAATAACAAGTGTTGGGGAGGATACGGAGAGAAACTGGAACCACTGTGCACTGTTCATGGGAATGGAAAATGGTGTAACTGCTGTGGAGAACAGCATGGCGGTTCCTCAAAAATTTAAAAATACAACTACCAGATGATTCAGCAATTCCACTCCTGGGCTGTATCCAAAGAACTGAAGGCAGAGTGTGGAAGAGATATCTGCATATCCATGTTCCTAGCAGCACTATTCACAATAGCCAAAAGGTGAATGCAGCCCAAATGTCTGAGGAGAAATGTACTTTCACATCCTACAGCATGGATGAACCTTGAGGACATGTTAAGTGAAACAAACCAGTCACAAAAGACAAATATTACATGATTCCACTCAGAGTAGGTATGTAATCAAATTCATATAAACAGAACATAGCCAGTGGTTACCAGGAGCTGAGGGGAGGAGGAAAAGGGGAGTTATCGTTCAATGGGTATAGAACCTCAGTTTGGGAAGATGAAAATGTTCTGGAGATCCGCTCACAACAATGTGAATGTACTTAACATTACTGAACTGTACATTTAAAAATGGTTAAGATGGTAAATTTTATGTTATGTGTTTTTTACAACAAAAATGCATAAAAAATTTAAAATAAGGTAAAAACCATAGGCCAATGTAAGAGAGCTTTCTTATTAAAGATGTATTTCTTACTAAACCTTGTAATATACACAAGTGTCTTTGCTAATGATGAGTGACGTTTGCTGTTGGCCATCTTTTCGTGTGCTTATTGGCCATTTGTATATCATCTAATATTATTTATCTTGTCAGCCAGAAAATTTGCCAAATTATAAGTAATTGAACATTGACACAGTCTAAAATAGTTTTATACATAAACACTCATTCTATATAATCAGGACAAAAAGTGAAATAAAAAATGTAATAGCCAACATTTTCTATATCAACTTTTGATATAGAAATACACACATTTTCTAGATCAACTATTGATATGGAAATACATACTTTAAACATTGTCTATATCAACTATTGATATAGAAATACATACATTTTCTATATCAACTATTGATATGGAAATACATACTTTAAACATTTTCTCTATCAACTATTGAAATAGAAATACATACTTTAAAACTTCTTGGGAAACAAACATAGACATTTAACATTTTTAAAATAAAGAAATCTAGTGACGGAAGAGTCTTGAGGTCTGAGCTTTCCCTGACAACTGAATAAAATAGCCAAAAATTTATTGATTAAAATATGGGTTTGAGCCATCATGGAAATGAGGCTAGAAGGTGAGCAAATTACATCAGGTTTTGAATGATCGTTAAATATGAAGTAGAAATAGCTTGCAATCCTACCTGGAAATGAGGCTGAGTGGGCACATGGAGTCTCAAGGCTCCCGTGTGTATAACCACTGCTCACAAGGAGAGATGATGCTTGGACGTTACTCTGACAGCCGCTAAAAGCAGCCACACAGAGATTATACAAAAGCACTCGGAATCTGCTCTGCCAGTTTCTTTATGCCAATGGCTTCATGGCAGAATCTAAGATTTTTTAACTTAATTCTTAAATTAAATTTTAAAATTTAATTTAATTTAATTTTTTAATGAAAGATAATTTTTTAACAAAATTTTCAAAACCATCAACTGACTCTCCTTTTTTCCTGTCTTGTACAAAGTGACATTAAATCAGAACCCTAAAACACAGAATATTTACTAAATTATAAATGATATACTAACCATCATGGACATTGTGTTTTTAATTTTTAGAAGAGTTGCCTTAAAATTATCCTCCAATTTGAAGATGAAGGTACAGAAATTAGAGTTTCAACATGTAATTGAAAATATTAAGTGCATAAATAAATGTATCAATCTTGAAAAATTATTTTACTTTTTCTTGCTTAGACTGCTATGGTTTTGGGGACACAGAAACATTTGCAACTCTGCTTTCTGACCAAGTGAGGAAGGACACAAGTTTTAAAAAATAAAATAAAATAAAAGGGATCAGGGACATTTACAGGTGTCTGGCTAAACAGGCTTCTATAGTTGAACTTCAAATTTTACTCTGGGCATTCAGATAGCTAATGCAAAAAAACAAAAGGAAATCACATTGGATTTTACCTAGTCATGGTCTGATGAGAGGCAGCATGTAAATATATCTTTTAGACCCCATATTTTCTCCAACACTGAATTTGGAGAGGAGTTTTTAATTGAACTGAATCCAAATAACACAGTTTGCCTAATGAACACCATGTTTGAAGAGTGCTCTTTTAAGAAAGCCTGGTTGTAGGGCCACCTGGGTGGCTCAGTCAGTTAAGTGTCTGCCTTCGGCTCAGGTCATGATCCCAGAGTCCTGGGATCAAGCCCTGCATCGGCTCCCTGCTCAGCGGGAAGCCTGCTTTTCCTTCTGCAGGCTGCTCCCCCTGCTTGTGCTCTCTCTCTCTCTCTGACAAATAAATAAATAAATAAAATCTTAAAAAAAGGTTAGCTATCATCAATACTAGAAGCAGCAGAAAACTGGCAGGGGCCGGGTTATTCTTTCAGGCCGGGCCCCAGGTCCCCTTAGCAGAGAAAGGATGGGAATATGGGAGGCAGAGGAGGAGGCCGGAGGCCCACTGCAAAAAAACAACAAACAAACAAACAAAAAACAGTCACGTAAATCTTTCACTGGCTCCCAGGAACATTAATTGGTGAGGAGGTCAAATATGTATTTCATGCTTACTGTGGATTAGGCATTCTGCTTGGCACTTTGCATGCATTATAGTCTCAATCATTCCACTAATCTGCGGGTTGGTATTATTAGATGATCATTTGTAGGTGAGAAGAATGGGTGTCAGAGAAACTAAGGAATTGGCCTAAAGTCATTGGACTTCTTTGGGAACAAGGGCACTAGCCATCTCCAATCACTCAAATTGAGGGCACAGAGGACAGAGTATTCCCACACAGTAGCACTACTGGGAAAGAGGCCACTACCCTCCTGCTGGGGCTGAGCCTCTGGGCAGCAGAAGACCCTTATCTGGGTGAAGCTGAGGCTTCAGAAGGCAGGAGTAACATCAGAAATGAAAATGTCCACCCTCTGACTGCCTTGGGCATCACTTTTCTGGGAGCAATATGCAATTCGTTTATTTTCTTTCTGCCTCAATTTTCCTGTCTATAAAATGGGTTTCAATTATTTACCTTCTTCACACAAATATAGTGAAGCTGGGTGAGCACTTTAAAACACTCTGGAAGCCCTGGGTAAAAGTCACTATATAATTATTGCCTGCCTTGTACATCCATGCTGGCTTAGAAAGGATGTAATTTTAAACTAATCATATAAATAAACTATGAAACATCATTCAAATGTCTACTCACTTATATATGACTTTCCCACATCTAAGCATTTACTTAAAGAATGAGCAAACATTGTAGAAGCTAGAGCTGTGGGCTCAGATGACAATGAATGAGGTTAAGCATGAGGAAGCACTTTTGGTGGGAGGTCGTGGGGAGAATGCACCCTCTCTCACACTCCAGCTGCACACCCCTGTGGGTTCCCTCTTTGTGAAAACCAGATCCCCTGGTCCTGTGCTTTTCCCTACTCTCTCTGCCCCTGAGTCTCCTGTGGACCTCCTCTTCTCCCTGCCCCACAGAGGAAGAGAGCAGATGGAGACTGACATGCTTTTAGCAGAATTGTAGAGTAAGAACAGCAGAGATGAGGCAGATGTTTGCTTCGTGTTCCTCAATTATGTTAGCATAAGGTCAAAACTCTGGGTACTGATATTCACAGGTATCAGCATCACCTGAGGTTATAGACCGTTCTTTTTTTTTAAGTAGCCGATTACTTGAGATCTAATTCACATATATTAAATCCACCCATTTAAAGCATAAAATTAAATGGCCTTTAGTGTACTCACAGAGTTGTGCAACCATCAGAACAGTTTTAGACATTTTTATCACACCAAAAAAGAAACTCTGTACCCTTAAGCAGTCACCCCTCACTCTTCCCAACACCCCCCCCACCCCCCCCCCCACCAACCACCAGCCCCAGGTAACCACTCATTTACTTTTTGTCTTTATAGATTTGTCCATTCTGGACATTGCATATAAATGGAATCATATAATACGTCTTTTGTGATTGGCTTCTTTCACTTAGCATAATGTTTCTTAGGTTCATCCATTTTGTTGCATGTATGAGTGATTCATCCCCTTTCATCACCAAATAACATTCCCTTGTTTGAATGTATTCCATTTTGTTAACCCATTTATCAGTGGATGGGTATCTGGGTTCTTCCCACTTTTTGACCATTATGCATAATGCTGCTATGAACATTTGTGTACCCATTTTTGTGTGGACAGGTTTCTAATTGTCTTGGTTCTATACCTAAGAGCAGAATTGCTCAGTCGCATTGTAACTCTATTTTAGCTTTTTGAGGAACCGCCAGACTGTTCTCCAAAGCAGCGGTACCATTTTCCATTCCCACCAACAGTGGACGATGTTTCCAATTTCTCCCCATCCTCACCAACCCTTGTCATTGTCTTTTTGGTCACAGCCATCCCAGTTGGCTTGAAGTATGTGGTTTTAATTTGCATTTCCCTGATGGCTAATGACATTGAGCATCTTTTCATGTGCTTATTGGCTGTGTATCTTCTTTGGAGAAAGGTCTGTTCGAATCCTTTGCCCATATTTTAATTGGGTTATTGGTCTTTTCATTATTGAGTTATAAGAGTTCTTTATATATTCTAGATAAGACAGTTCCTTATCCCATATATGATTTATAAATTGTTCCTCTAATTCTATGGGTTGTCTTTTCATTTTCTTGATGATATCCCTTGAAACACAAAAGATTTTAATTTTGGTGAAGTGCAAGGGCTATTTTTTCTTTTATTGCTTGTGCTTTTGGTGTTAGACCACTACATTTCATACCTGTTCAGGTGCTGCACCATTGCATAATATTGCATAGGGTCGCAGTTGGCCCATCAGGCCATTTCTTACCCTGCCCTTCAGGCCCACAGGTTTGTCTTATCTTCTGCCCCTCAACAAGAGCCCCAGAGCCCCACTGTGCCATTTGGCCAGAACTACTCTGATCTGTGGGCATGTTCTGGCTAAGTCTAGTTAGAGCCCTGCCTCTGCAGTGACTGGGAGCCCGGATTCTCGTGTTAGACTCCTAGAGTCCCTGAACTCCAGGGTCACGTCCACATTAGGGCCTGTCTCTGCCTTCCCTGTGTCCACAGCGTTCTTCCCCCCAACACCTACTTAGCAAACTGCCTCAACTCCTCTGAGTCTTGTTCGGAGCTCCCGTACCCAGGTCACCCACCCAAACACTGCCCTTTGCCTACCCATCGCTGCGCATGCCTAATCCGCCTTATGTGCTCTAGGATCTCCTTCTTCCACAGAAATCATCCTCTGCTACCTTTCTGCAGCATTTACGTCTTTATTATTTACTATTTAGATCTTTTTAAAACCCTTATTAGGATACAATCTCCACGTGGGTAGGGTTCTTAGCCTCTACCTCAGCAATGCCTAGCTTCTGCTAAAGCAATGCCTCCTAGCTGCTTCACAAACACCCGTGGAAATGAGTGAATGGCCGTGATTTGCATTTCTCTGATCGCTAACGAGGATGAACATGGCCGTATGATCACAGGCCGCACGTGTTTCCTCTTTTGTGAGTTGCCCGTCCCCTCTTTTGTCCATTTGTCCACGTTTTCTTTTTCATCGATTTATAGGAAACTCTTTAGATTCTCGTGACACTAATCCTTTGTTAGTGCGCTTATTCATTTTATTTATAACCAGCGCCTGTCTCAGCGCACAGCCCACGGTGGGCACAGAAGAAGTCATGACCACCCGACAGAGGCGTTCAGGTTCCTGTTAGTGTGCGTTCACCTTTGGGAGGGAACAAGGGAAATGCCTGTTTAAAAATAATTCCATAATTACGAGGGAAAGAAATCGCCCGACGTACCCCGGCAAGCAGTCCCCGCAGACGGCATCGCTGGTGACGGAACAGTTGGCCTTCTGGAAGCGGTTCACCGCGGCGCACTCCAGGCACGGCTTGCATTTCTGAAAGCCCCAGTCCTCCTTGAACCGGTGCGGCCTGCATGTCATGCACTGGGCATCCTCCCCGTAGCCAAAGCCGCATTCCTGCAGGGATTAACAGGCAACAGAACGCTATTCAGACGTGGCAAGCGTGAAAAAGACGGCTGGGATAAAAGGAAGACCTGGTCTAATAATTACCGAGTGCCGGCCTTCCTGGATACAAAGGCGGCCCTTTCAGCAAGTTCAAATGTGTCTCCCACTGCTAATAATCTCTCTTACTACCAGAAGTATACTTAGTCATCCACTTTATTCAAGAAGCCACGAGCATTTGAATAATAAAGGTTCTCCAGGACCCCCACTGCTGCATTATTGCTAGCTTATGGCAGAATTATGGCACTTTCTTCTTTTCTAATTAAGCCAGTCATGGGCATGTTCAGAAACTAAAGTCAGGGAAATATCCAGACACTTACTCACTTATCGAGGCAGAAAATAAGTACTTTGATATCAACAGTGATATTTTAGAAATGAGGCTAACTGTGTAAGAAATTTCCTAAGCCGACAAACCTAGAAATCTATCCAGTAGAGAGCATCTTGACATGTTAGCTGTGTATTGTTGTGTGATAACAGGAAGATTCTGACATATTTTTTTTAAAGATTTTATTTATTTATTTATTCATTTGAGAGAGCGAGAATGAGAGAGAGAGAGAGAGGGCACATGAGAGGGGGAGGGTCAGAGGGAGAAGCAGACTCCCCTGGTGAGCAGGGAGCCTGATGCGGGACTCGATCCCGGGACTCCAGGATCATGACCTGAGCCGAAGGCAGTCACTTAACCAACTGAGCCACCCAGGTGCCCCCTGACATATTTCTTAAAAGAACACTACATTCTTGTGTGAATTAAACTGTGTGATACCGAAGGTCTCAGGCTTCTCTAGATTTGAATGTCAGAACACAGTACTGCTTTCCAAGGATGGGCAAAACAGATGGTTCTTTGATGCACCATATGAGCATTTCCACAAGGTCCAGAACCAAATAAATCATAGCCTATCATATAATGTAAATACAATGCAACCATAAGAAGAATGATGTAGATATGGGTTCATGGTAGCTTAAAAAAGTTATAATACAGAATTAGAAGTATGATCCCATCTCTTACAAAAATATTAATAATTACTACTAACATTTATTGGGTGCTTACTCAGTGCTGGGAACTTCATATACATTATCTCATTAATTCATATGTCTTCCAAATGAGGGAAGCACGATCATTATTCCCATTTCATGAATGGGGGTATGGAGCTTCCCAGAAGGTACGTACCTTAACCAAGGTGACATAGCTCATGTTAGAACCAGGATTTGAATCTACACCATTTAATTCTGGAGTCAGATTCTATACCCCGACGCTGTAGGATCCATCTGGTACTTTAACTCTCCACATGGAGAGCATGCTGAACAAGCCCACAAACATAGCTCAGTGCAGCAGAGGGAGGAAGGACTCCAACAAAATCTCTTAATTTCCTCACCTGTAAACTTTGGATGCAGAATGCAAATCCCCACTAGTTCAAAATTCCCATTGGCCTATCAAATTTATATACTTAAAGTCCTTTATCTGTATTTAAATGCACAGTCAATTAAGCAGTACTGGTCAAAATTTAAATCAAAACCAACACAAAGGATAGTATTCCCTAGAGTATTCCCTGTACTCAACAAACTACTGAATAAAAGAGATTCTAATAACACTTCAGTTCAGTTTTACTAGTTAACTCGTGCACATCTTGGAGGAGCGATACCTTCCTTCCTCTTTTCAGTTACTCAACCAACCTTTCAAATGTGTACCATGAACATGCACAACAAAGAGTGGGGAAGGAAAAAAAAAAGCAGAAGGTCACCAACCTTCTGAATCCTGAGTGCTCCAACTAGACAATGTTCTAAACCAAGGCACAGACGGCGGAAGGAAAAAAAATTTGAAGAACTAATTCACAATTAGAATTTCTTTAAAATTGTTAGCAGGGATTATCTTGGGGGGGGCGGTTTGAGTGAAATCATGAGGTGTTTTGAATTTTTATAATTCTGAAAACATTTAATTTTTGCCAAATAGCATCTATTACTCTGACAATCAGGAAAACACCAAAGATACGTATTCAAAAAGAATTTCCTGGGGATGTGGATTAGGTCTTTGCGGGGAGGTATCTGCCATTTTGGGTGCTTTGTTTATGGGCAATGTGGTTCTGCACTGGGGCAGAAGTGTGTTCTTGCTAAGTAGTTGCTGAGAGAGCCGAGTGCATCCAAAGACTCTCCTTCAGTGTGACAGGAGCGGCCCTCTCACAATCTTCCAGGATCAAAGTGTGGTGCATGTGACATTCAGAAGGGGGATGGGGACCTCGTTGTCCACAGGCTCAGTATCTCCATGTCAAAGGTTCATGCGAGAGCAAAGTTCCAAAATCATACTTTGATCCAGGCAGCTTGGATTGTAAGGATGTCATGTGCAAGTTACAACACAACAAAGAAAGGAAGGAAAAAGGAAGAGAGCAGAAGGGAAAACAAATGGAAAGAGAAATGAGAATGAGAAGAAGGTGTATTAACTGGGAATAAATGTCTGAAATTCTGTTTTTCAAGCGAGGCTGACATAGGAGAAAAAGTGTATTATCTTCCTTCAATGGAGCCAAAGACACATGACTTTGAACGCCGATTCTGCCACTTGTCCAATAAGCTATTTTGGGAACTCTCTGACCCTCAGTCTCTTCATCTCTGAGATGGCGATAGTACACATTTGCCCCACAGGGTGGTTTTGAGGAATAAACAGGAAAAAAACCATATAAAATCTGTAATCTATAAATCAAGCACAGAGTAGGCATTCACCAAATAAATGATACCTTTTTAGATTCTCTACAACCCAACAAACCAACTTTCCTGATTTAAGTATAATAAAGCCTCACGGGGGAACAAGAGGATCTTTAGACTCCAATTTTTTCTGAGTTACTTGAAACATCAATTTACATCTAAATTATTTTTATAGAATAAAAATATGTCTACAATGAAAATGGTACATAAAATATCATTTAACCATACCTACTTGAATCAACTACTGCGTTGCGTTGTAATACATGAAACTAGGAAGCCCTGGTGTCCCTACAGGCAGCTTTGCTGTTTTAATGGCCCTGCCAGGCAGTCAACTCTCATTCCTTCATTGTTTCCGACAATTCACTTCCTCTCTCCATTCCTGAGAAACTAGATGCCTATCCGAGCGGACATGGACTTGAAGGAATTGATAGACTCATCTCTTTTGAAAAATAAGGGGCATGTAAGTGTTGGGAAGATCTTTGTGCTTATTTTTTGATTCCTGACTGTATTTTAGGGTTTGTGTTGCACATACATGAGGACAAATTTGACCATGGTGTTTTTGCCACATATCATTGTGTGTCATTTACATGTCACTGTACTTCATAGACTTTTTTCATGAAACTTTTTTTTTTTTTGGTCCATTCCATATTGGACTAAATCATGTATAGAAAAAAACAACAGGGGCGTGGGGGTGGCTCAGTCAGCTAAGCATCTGCCTTAGGCTCAGGCCACGATCTCAGAGTCCTGGGACCGAGCCCCACGTCGGACTCCCCGCTTCTCCCTCTTGCTCTGCTCCTCCCCCAGCTCTCGTGCACACATGCTTGCTCGCTCTCTCTCAAATAAATAAAAATCTTAAAAAAAAAAAAGAAAGAAAAAAACAACAAAACCGGTCTCTAAAGGCATCATAATTTGCCTTCATTATCTGGATATTAACTTACTATTTCTGCTTAGAGTTTATATGTCTTAGTGACAACAATGGTAATTTCGGAGTAGATTTATATGAGAGGTTGAGATAAGGCTGTGTGTCCATTATGATCACAAAATAATACCTAAATGTATTAAACAGGTACTGTGAACCAGTCTCCTGGGAACTTTTATAGAGACTGATTATTTGGGGGAATTTAGTTTAAAATACATTTTCTCTAAAGTACTTGTCATTTTTTAAAAAGATAATATCAAAACACCAAAAGCTAATACTATTTTTAAGCTTTTAAAATGCTTGCAGTTCATAACACTCTAAGAAATTTATGAAGTGATCGTTCTCAACGTTAAATTAACTCGAAGCCTTGACTTAACCAGAAAGTCAGGGAAGATATTTCCAAGGAATTATGTGGCAGCATAGTAGGTGTGTAGCAACAACAGTGTTTAGAGCGGACTGTCATATTTCTAAAGCACCGTAAACAGAGAGATGCTGCAATTATTTGAAATCCAGGCTATAAAGTAAACAGCATATAAACATTAAATTATCCCCAATATAAACGTCTACTGTGATGTTTTTATTTCATTCAGTAAAACGAGGTGGTCCCATTAAGTTCAATAAGTAACTACCAAGAGCAAAAGAGAAAAGGCTGAACAGCTCGACGTGCGGGCAGGTCTACAGTCTCCTGGCCAGGGTAGCACTGCTGAGCATGCGCTGAAATTGAGTCTCTGTAAACTCGTGTCCAACCCCCTATGGCCAGCGAAGATTTCTGGTCCCTTTTCTTTTTATCACTTTTTATACTGAAGAACTACTACTACCCACAAGATTTTTATAAATGAGTCGAACAGTACACCTTCCTTCCTATCCCTGGTCTCTTCACTTCCTATTCCCTCCACACAGGCAAACACTGTTCCCAGGTTTTGGGAAAACCTCCCAGAAATATCCTAATATCCTGTGTGTGTGCGTACACACTGTTCTGCACATCCTTTTTCAGTTTTCCCCGCTCAGTGCTTCTTGGAGAGTGCTCCCTATCAGCATACACAGACCATGCCATTGTGTGGCTACAGCTGAATTCATTCTACTGGAGTCTGGTCACCGCTGCATCCCAAGTGCAGGATGCAGGGGGCAACCACGGACGTCTGCTGAAGTAGGTTGGCATTGATCACGTGGTCTAATCGTGCATCTAATGAAAACAGTATCGAACCTTTTGGGTCTTCCCCCTATTACTTTTGAATATAAAGGGGGTGATTTCCCTAGGCTAATGGTTTCCCACAGCAGACTAGTATACTATCGTTGGGAATAAGAGAAATGGCAGGAATAGATTTTTGGTGAGATAAAACAAAGAGTA